TATCTTAATGATCTAAATGGAGATACAATTATGGCTGTACACTCAATTTGAGAATAAAGGGAAAGGAACTTAAGTCTGGGAAGTTTGGAACTAGATTCAGTGCCTCTCATACTTTTGTTCCGTTGCAAAATTTCAAAAACTTGGGTGCAATTAAATCTGATTGCACCTAAATTTTCAAACTTTCATAACAATATACGGCCAAAGTTAAGTTATTCGGCAAAAGTTTCTTTCATTCTCAAAAGGGATTGGAGGCTATGAGATACTGATAAAATGTCAGTACCTAATGACTTCCAATTCCTTTTTTAAATTACTCAAAGAAGACTTTACAGGAATTTGAAATTTGCCATGTAAAGTCCACTTTTGTTTACAAGAAAAGTAATACGAGTTGATTAACAAAATTAATCATTGATGCCTACTCTATTAGGAAATTGGTGCAATTTATTTATCCATGAATGGTCTTTGACAAATATGATTAAAGTTTCTCTTATCGAATCCATGATCACTTTATTGGATTTAAGCTCTTCCTCGTATCCGAATATAAATCCACCAAGTACAACCAATCTTTAGATTTGGTGTTTGGTTAATCTTGTTATAAGAACTTGTCTATTATATTTTAAAGACTCTCTAAAGTAGTTTGCTACATAGATGAAGAATTTGACACTTTACACTTGTAAAGTGTCAAAAATTAAAATTAAACATTATTATTTTTTAACATAAAGATTGTTGACCCTACGACTTCAATTCCTTCCTTAATTGGCTATGAATAAGAGTGTGAGAATACTATTGCATGTAATGATATCTCTCAACATCCGATTCTCACTATGACCTAAATATTTCATTACTTGAAAAGAAATTATATTGTTCTCGATTATTGTATCATTTCATCGATTAAGAAATCTCCAAACTATTTTCAAAAGCAAGGAAAATATAATAAACAACTAATTTTTATACTGTATTTTTCGAGGGACCTGAAAACGTCCCCACTTTTTCTGAGGGGCGTTTTCGCAATGGTCTCCTTGACACTTAAAAACATGAATTAGACTTTATGAAACATATATAATATTTTAAAAAGAGTAAATAAAGATATATTTGTAGTTACACAAAAAATTATTGCAATAAATATATCAATATTATTAATAATGCAAGATACTTTTTTGTTAACAATTGTACGAATTTAGAGTATAGTGATTTGAATATCTCGTTAATAAAAAGTGTTTGATTCTAGTCTGAAGTAATACATTTGAAATCAAGATTTCACCATTATTGTTTTTATTAAAGATTGTTATAGGATATCATAAGTTTATGAATAGGAAATTGTTAATACATAGTTATTATTTCATATTATTGAAAATCAAAAAAGATAAAGGAATATATTCTGCAAATAATAAGTATTTATTTTATTTTGATGATATGATAGTTTCTCTATTATATAAAACAACAGCTTTTTAGAATCTGGGCTCTGTTAGAGCGATTTTAAATGGAAGCGTGAAGAAAATGAGGGGGCACAAACTTGCCCAGTGAGGTGAAGTGAAACGTGACAGGTTTACACGTCAGAAATGTAAAGTGTCAGATTTGAAACAAAAAATGGATTAATTTATTATTATATGATAGAGAGATTTGGTAAGTTACTATCAAATTTGTAAGTAAGGGGAAAAAAGTAAGAAAGAAAAAAATTTAAAAAAATAAAAAGCCACTCGCTTCGCTCGCGGTTGACAAAAAGAACAAATTCGAAAAATAATTGTATGAAATTACGAAACTAAGCCACTCGCTTCGCTCGCGGCTTAAGAAAAGAACAGATTCGAAAAAAGATTGTATGAAATTACGAAACTAAGCCCCTCGCTTCGCTCGCGGCTGACGAAAAGAACAGATTTGAAAAAAGATTGTACGAAACTACGAAACTAAGCCGCGAGCGAAGCGAGCGGCTTAAGTAAACAACATATTTCAGATTATCGATACTAATTTTTTTTTTATTTTATTACATTTTTTTTGCATTTTTTAAGGGTGCACACGAGAGGATCATGTAAACTTCAGAATTTAGAACCTTATTTTTAGGCATTATCTTGGCTACCTATTTAGGCTCGAAAAGCAAAAAATATCAAAAAATACAACTTGACTCCATTATGACCCTTTCATGGAGGTAGTTTTTATCCGCTAGTATTTTCCCTTTGAATCTCTTTACAATTCGAAATCAAATTCAAAACTCAGTAGAAGAAAGGAAGAATCGACTTACTACGGTTGTAATACGAATAAATACATATATTTAATTATTTTTATTTACATAATAATTGTTTGAAGCTCATATTCCATCAAATTTTTAAATAAAAACATTAAAATGTTGAAAATGTTCATATATTTTAATAGGGGTTTGGCACTTTATTGAGGAATTACTACATACATAGTCGAACTGAACTTGATATTTTGAAATTTAAATTATTTATCAAAATTAAAATTTAACTTGAAATTTATAATTATTTAGTCATATTTTGCATAATTCTAAGTAGATTTTGTAAAAAATCAAGAAAGAAAAATTTTAACGTGCTTTATTTTTTCTTTTTTATAATAATACATATTATTATATAATTAACATATTCATAATGTTTCACCCTTTCAAAAATATAATCCTCCTCCTCTCAAATAAACGTACATACGGGTGGCCTCTTTTTTCAAAAAATTAAAATTTGAAATTTTGGGCTCAAATATTAGAGATTTTTTCAACCTTCAACGATATATGTTGTCTATATCAGACCTCCTTTCTTTTTGATACTTAACATTGTTCCTAAATCTTAGCCGTTACGGCTGTTCTGAAAATATTTTTTTTTTCGAAAAAATTCGAAAAAAATTCTTAAAATTCAAAAATCCCTTAATTCCTGAGGATTAGGGTTGTTAGATTCCCGACGATAGGTGTCTTGGAAGATTTGCCTGGTGTCATCATAGTGTCTTTAAATCAAAAATTTTATTTTGGAGTTAGTTTTATTGATTTTTCAATAAAAAACATTTCTAAAACAAGAAAATAAAACGATAAAATATTTATATTTTATATAAGGATCTTATATATTTAAAATAAATATCATTTTATTTTTTTCATTGGTGTCTGTCAAACCATAATACACTATTCAAAAATTCAATGTGTCTTGCGGTTTCAAAAGACACCTTCAAATTGAACGATAGCACAGACACTATTGAATTTTACCCATTTTATTTAGTTTTTACCCTTTTTATTTTTAAGAATTAATGACTGAAACAGCCGTTTTGCTATGACCTCAATCACTTTTATTTATTATTTTAAATATTATTTAATTTTATTATTTGAATAGGCCAACTTATATTTGAGAAGCTCAATTTGAGACCACTTAATACATTGAAATATCATAAATATTGGAATATTAAAAAGTGTATTTCAAAATATTGAAATTATAAAAATTTATAATACTGAAATTGAGACAAATTAATAAATTCAATGTTTTTTTTTGAAATAACTCTCAAATATTATTTTTTTGTTTATTTAATGATGAATAAATATGATTGCTTTAGTCAATCATAAAAACTAATTTAAGTTTAAAATAATGAAAGGATAATATGATTGTTTTTTAAAATACAATTATTTTTGATGATTTGCAAGAATCTTTGAAAAGAATATAATATAGGTTCTATTTTTGTAAAATTTATCCAAATCATGTATTACATAAATTACGATTAAAACGATGAAAGAACCAAAAAGTGTGTTTTGTGTTTTGTTGTTGCGTGTTGGATGCGGGATCCTGTTATTTCCGAAATCGACAAAAAATTTGGAAATTTAATTTCCGAAATCGAAATTATATTAATGTTTTTAATATTCTTATATCAAAAGGATTAAAGTTCATTAAGAGAAAAACAATTCTTCTTCTTCAATCTATTGGCGCATTTATTTCTACACGCCAATAAGGAAGGGAAAATTATAAGACACCATGGTGTCTTCAAAACGCTAATTTTTGATATTTTTAACAACCCTACTGAGGATTTTGGAAAAAAGTTTTTACATGAACATGTGTATATTATATGAAGTATATTGATAAGGTAAAAATCAAATTTTATTGCATATTCATCGAGAAAATAAACTAACGAATCCCTCAAAATTGAGAGGGTAATCCTCCTCCTCTCAAATAAACGTACATATGGGTGCACCCTTAAGAAGCTAAATTCTGAAGTTTACATGATCCTCTCGTGTGCACTCTTAAAAAATGCAAAAAAATTGAATACTTTACTGGCTGGGCAAATTTGTCGCCGCCCCGAAGAAAATTAATTTGAAAGGAAAACTATACTGAAAAAAAATAAATAGTTTTATAGAATTGAGATTAAAAAGAAGTGACAATTAAGGGGTGAGTTTTTTTTTCAAATAATTTTTTCAAATAATTTTTTCTATTAAAAATTGAAAAAGAGATTATAGAAATTGAAAGGATAAGAAAACTATGAATATCCAAAATTGGTTTTGTGAAGCAAATTTTGAATAATAATGTAATTTTATAGTTTGAACAAAATAAAATTTTTTTTGAAAAATAATTGACAGATTTAAAAAATGTATTCAGTACATATATTAGATGAAATGTTAAAATTGTTTACTTTCAACTTTTTGAAAATTATAATTGATCGCGAGTTTATGGAAAATAAGAACGTAAGATCACAGTTCTTCTTATTGTTTCTCAATTTTTTCCGATTATTTTGAATTACTTTCAAAATCTAATATCTTTGTTTTATCATTTATAATTTACATACATATCCATACGATTCAAATTATAAAATTTTATATAAGACACCTTTACTCTCAATTTATCTATCCTATTCTCAATTTTTTTCGATTATTTTAAATTACTTTCAAAATCTAATATCTTTGTTTTATCATTTATAATTTACATACATATCCATACGATTCAAATTATAAAATTTTATATAAGACACCTTTACTCTCAATTTATCTATCCTATTCTCAATTCAATCAAATTAATATGATTAAAAATGATTTTAAACTATTTTTTATTTCCATTATATTCAAATTCTGAAGGAATTCGATTTCTCTTTTGGCAATCTCTTCGAACTCTTGTAGGAATTTCAATGTCCATTGGCTCGATGTTTAGAATATTTATATCCTTAGATTTGAACACTTCAAATTCTTTTTCATCGAGTTTGGTAAAATATGATTCTTTTTTGAATTTTGTGTCAATTTCTAAAGAATTGTTGAAATTTTTCACAGCGAGAATATGTGAGCAGACAATCCCGTAGCGTAAGGCTTCGTTGCAGTCGCAAGCAGCTTGATTTCCATCGTAAATAATAACAGTGTTAATCATTTCGATTTGCTTCAAACCACTTAAAACGTAATAACAATTTGGGTCTTCGGAAATTATTATTCTGTAAAAATCGGCCTTTTTTGTTATTTTTTCTATAATTTTTGTTGGCTCCTCATTATATTTGTAAAGTCTTAATAAAATTGACATTGTTTGCTGTTTAAAGAAATTAAATGCCTGAAGTAAATCGAATATTTTAGTTTTTTGAAAATAACCATTTAAGACTTCGAGTGCTGAGGTTGCCATTATGCCCTGATCAAAAGCCTTCCTTTTGAAAGGGTTTATTGATTGTAACTTCGCGATATATTTTGAAATTTTCTTTTCCAAATAATTCGGATAAGTCATTCTAATTTTTGTTTCAACTTCCTGTAAAATTCTTTGGAAATCTTTGTCATTGATTGCTCTTTTGAGCTGCCAAATTATCTCTCGACATTTTCCGAATTTTTGATTATTAAATAAATGAAATATGCATAAAATCCGCTTTGAGAGTAAATTGATTTCTGAATGTGACAATGCGCTTTTAATATCACTTCCATCGTCGGAAAATATTGTTGAAATGTCATTTTGTTTTATAACCAATAAAATTAATTTAAACAAGCTCCATATAAGAGGGTGATCTTCCTCAACACTCCAACTAGTGATGCGAAAAATTCCCAAACATATGGGGCTTCTCATATCCCATCCCCTATCGTTTCCCCAATTCAATTTTTTTGGAATTTTATTTTTTTCCCGCCCATTTGAATTAAAAATGGGCGATTTTCGTTAATGTGATTGAAATATCATAAAATTAATACGTATTTTAGCTAATAATTCTATTTTTATACAATATTCTCTCATTAAATCAACAATTTTTTCTAATTTTAATTTTTAATTTTTAATTTTTAATTTCTTCATAATTTTAGCGATTTATGCTCATTATTAGCAAATAAATAATATATATAATATACTTATTTCATTTTATTCAGATAGGTCTTTGGGATTGGGATACCTTGTCCAAATTCAGAGGAAGTTTGAGAGGTTGGGATGGAGTAGCCCATATTCAATTATCCCAAGTGTACTCCACGAATTTAAAATTATATTATATTATTGACGACATATCTAAATTTATAGATAAAAATTTCAATGCGTACACAATTTTTTTTGAGAAAATTCTTTTTTTACTTATTTTCATTCATAAAAGCTCACGTGAACTTAATTAACAACTGAGACATTTCCTATGAAATCATTTAATGCCGTCAAAATAGACATGTCTAAGCTGTTTTGAGTGACTTTCGCTCGATGTCTGATATTGCATCAGACATCGAGCGAAAGTCTCTCAGATTGGCTACACATCCATACGATCAATACTAGAGCTACGAATTACAAGCCTGTTTGGGCGATTTTTGGCCGAGTTCTGATTTTTCATTAGATCTCGAGCGAAAGTCTCTCAAATTGGCGGCAAACCCAAATTTTAGCTAAAAGTGACAGGGAAAAAAACGTTTAGTATTAAAAAAAAGACTGATGAGAGCTTCGTTCGAAATATAGAGGGAACTGAGAATGCGCAACCATTCTCAGGGAATATTGGATGCTATTCCCGTTCCCTCTGTATGGAAAATTGAGGTTTTCAAAGGGAGTTAAAATAATATCAAATTTATACTAATTTACTTCAAAATACAAAAGTATTTGACAGCTAAAATTAGTTACTTTAGCAAGCCTATCAATACCCTTTTACGATTATTGCTACTTTTTCGAAATAAAAGTAAAAACAAATTTATACTAATTTACTTCAAAATACAAAAGTATTTGACAGCTAAAATTAGTTACTTTAGCAAGCCTATCAATACCCTTTTACGATTATTGCAACTTTTTCGAAATAAAATAAATTTATTATCAAAAACTTTTTTTTCTTAGTAAAAATAAACGAAATTTTTTACCTTATGAACTTTTGATGGAAATATGCAAATTTAAAATAATAAAGAAAGCCGCGAGCGAATCGAGCGGCTTAGGTCTAAGATTTTGATTCAAATCTTTGCTTATATTCCTTAAATTCTTTATGAAACTCGCAACAGTTCCATAAAAAATTTTAAATTCTAAACTGTCGAAATTACCGATCGGTAATCACACCCTTCACGGGTGTGTCACTTTTAGCTAAAATTACCCCTACTCCTCAAATTGGCTGCCAGTTCATAAGAGTGAAACTCTAGCTACAAATTAGAAGCTTGCTTGAGAGACTCTCGCTCGCGTTGGGATCTGCATCAGAACTCGAGCGAAAGCCTCTCAAAGTGGTAAGACCTGCTCATTGTTGAACAGGAGCTGCGTAATGTGTTCGAGTAGAGTAAGGCTCTTCTAAGATCTTCCCTTGTGATTGGAAGAAATTAGAAGAGCCTCACTCTACTATTTTGTAATTGTATGCCCTGACCTTTGAGTGACCAGGGCTGCGTAATGTGTTCGAGTAGAGTAAGGCTCTTCTAAGATCTTCCCTTGTGATTGGAAGAAATTAGAAGAGCCTCACTCTACTATTTTGTAATTGTATGCCCTGGCCTTTGAGTGACCAGGGCTGCGTAATGTGTTCGAGTAGAGTAAGGCTCTTCTAAGATCTTCCCTTGTGATTGGAAGAAATTAGAAGAGCCTCACTCTACTATTTTGTAATTGTATGCCCTGGCCTTTGAGTGACCAGGGCTGCGTAATGTGTTCAGCAAATTGATATAAACGTACATCCCACAAAAAATGGATTGTCAAAATTTATCCCAAATTTTACAAAACCGCAGCGGTTATGACATCCCAGGGCTAAAAAAATTCCGAAAATCGCATCTCTACTCCAACCGTATGAAAGCGGAATGCATTTGCGAGATGGGGTTGTAGATGCCACAATTCCCATTTTTCCAGCACAAATTGTATGAGCTGCAGTAGCATCTACCATCAGTATGTTATTAAAAGCTTTCGATTGTAAAAAATATTTCGAAATTGGAGGTAAAATCGAAATTGTTTTTACAATAAAATCTGGTTGAGTAATGATTTTGTTTATCAAATAAACATATTCTCCTTTAGCATTCATTTTCCCAGTATGTATAATTGAGAAACCTCCATTTTGCACGACCAAATTATTTAATGATACCATTTTTTTGAAACTGTTGACTAAATCTGAATCGTCCATGTGAAATAGGCTTTTAACTCTTTTCCTAAATGTATCAGAATTAATCTTACGTCCAAATCTCATTTCAACATAACGTAGAAATTGAGTGTAATTCCGAGTTATAAATTGAAATTGATTTGATTGAATTCAATAATTTAAAACTATAGTCGGGATTCTTGAGTTTTTTTGACACTCGTTTTTATGAGATGACTCAATAATAACATTGAATGTATTTGGACTAGTGTATTTGATGAAATATTTTGCCCCACATTCACATGAGACCATACTATTCTCAGAATCATAGTTCATAAACAAATATTTTTGGCTTGTATAATAAAGAACATTAAATATAGCGCTTTCAAGCGAACTATATTTTTGGACTGTGAAATAAATTTCTAATCTTCGAATAAAATCTATGTCAATATTACCAGATGTGATGGAGTTCACATGATCTTCGTATTTTTCTTCATCTTCAGGGAAAAAATAGTTCATTTCTTGAAACGATGGTAAAACAGGATAGTCCTGTGGCTGTGATAGAGGAATTGTTAGTGTAAGTTTATTCTCTGGGGGTTGTTTGATAAGCTTGAATAGAATCGTCATTAAAAATAATCGTTTTACTCACAAAATATAATTGTACAATGTTTAAATATAAATGATTTAATTAAATTGAATATTATCATTCTTTTATATCACTCTCATACTTGAATCAAATGAAATTGAAAAGTAATTGATTTAAAAATTTAACTTTTTGCCTAAAATGTTTTTATTACATAATTACATTAATTGCTTATTGCAATGGAATTGATAAAATATAATAATACTAAAATTTTTTAAAAAATCTGCCATGTAAAGTTTAACGTACAATCTCCTATTTTCTAGATTCAAGTATTGCCTCTATTATGTGTTCATAACTTTAGATATTCTATGACCCTCAACCCAATCTACACTTTCATATGTAACTATTTTTGCAGGGCACTAATTTATTAGAAAAATTTGCAATCCAAATTACCCAGGCAAGCAAAACACAACTTCATTCAATATTTCCGATAGTAAAGATTTCCAACTAAAGATAAATATTTGGTGATATTCTCCCAACAATGCTTACATTTACAAATCCAATATCGATTTCAAAATTGAGCAGACAGATTTACAAATCCATTTATCACATTTGCAAACATCTATACATGAGTAGATATATGCAATTAGAAGCAAATCGGAATTGCCAATTTTTAATTAAAATCTAACTAAGCTTAATTTGAATAAAAACATTTACTATATATGATAATGAAGCATCTTATATCGAAATGAGTTCATAACTCCATTTTTTACTTTAACGCAATTTAATTCTTTCCATTAAGTAGAACTATATATCTAACCATATCCATAAGATACTTTATGAAGTGTTAAACACTTCTCTCGTTTGCATGTTCCTCACCTTGAGGGAGACTCCAAACTTGCTCGATCAGGATTCCTCCAGGGTGTCCAAAAATTTTTAAGGTTAAGAGTTTTACAACATTTATTTTGAGCAAGATGCAATTAGAGTTTCTATTACACAATCAGCATATATGATACATTATATCACATGTTTCATCTGTAAAAATCACTGATTGATTATAAGAGGTAAAATCACATTTAGATGTTCATGAATATCGTTACTTTGCCAATTTAGCGTCATATTATGGTAATATATGACAATGACGTTTTCAGTTTTGATAAATATAGGGTGTCCAAAGGTGCGTTTAGCACAGCGCTCTATATGAGACTATTAAAGGAGATATATGCTGATTATAAATATATAATAAAAAATATGAATATATGTATATGATGAGTAAGTTGTATTTTGGCGCCATGCCGGGATATAAAATGAATTTTGAGACAAGAGGCGGTTTCGCGGGAAATTTTGGCGGGATTTTTTCCATTTTTTTAATGAATCATAAAGAAAACATCCTCGCTCTTGCAAAAAAATGCAAAGACTGTAAAAAATCTACGAGACATTGGTAAAATGCTTCGGTATGGATGCTCCTAGCTATTCCACTGTAACGTATCATGTTAGGATGTATCACTTCATGAACAAAAAGGCGCCCATCATAAAAATTGACAAAAAATCGCCGGATCAAAGAAAAATCAAAGCAATTCTTCAAGCGCTAGATGAAGACCCAAGAGCATCACTCAGAAGGATAGAGGAGATGACAAAGATACCACGTACAACAGTCAGTTATTATCTGCACAATTATTTGAACTACAAACTAGCGTATACACGTTGGGTTCCGCACAACCTTAATTCAGTTCAAAAAAAATCTAGAGTCCAATCTTCGAAAGAGCTTCTCTCTATATTGGGTGCGTATCAATCCAAGAAGTTTCGCTTTTTAGTAACAGGGGACGAGTCTTGGTTTCAATATGCAACAGAAGCCAAAATCATGTGGATCCCGAAGGATGAAAATCCGCAAACATTCCCGAAGAAAAAAATTGACACACCAATGATGATGTTGTCGGTTTTTTGGGGCGTGAATGGCATCATCGCAATTGATATTCTTCAAAAACCTAATACGATGAATGCTCAGTATCTAATTGACAATGTTCTTACTCAAATTATCAATTCTGATGAGTTTGAGAAATCCAAACAACAAAAACAAAAGTTTGCAATTCATTTTGATAATTCAAGAGTTCACAAAAGTCATAAGGTAATGAATTACTTGGTGGAAAACAATGTCAAAGTTGTTCCAAACCCAAATTATTCACCTGATATTGCACCCTCTGACTTTTATTTATTCGGCACGCTAAAAAAGAGAGCTGAAGGACGCGAATTCGCGAGTCCAGATGATCTTGAAAATTTTGTAAGAGAGCAATTTGAGCAATTTTCTCATGATGATTTAAAGCGTGTCTTTCAAGCCCGGATCGATCGCTGCGAACGCGTGATTGAATCCAATGGTGATTATATTTAAATAAACTTTATATATATGTAACTTGTTTATTTCTATTCGCAGTATTCAGGTTTGTGCTAAACACACCTTTGGACACCCTATATAAATGATACTTATATGATATATTTTATATTGCTTTCAAAAAAAATATTAAATATTAAAAAAATATTAAAATCTTATAAAATCAAATTATCTGATGTTCTAATAAACTTTTGGAATATTTAATTAATACACTTGCTTTATTTATATTCAAAAAATAATAGATTCAAAATTGAATTGATTTATTTCAATTTAAGCCATAAAAAATTTGGATTTCCAAAATTTCATCGTTAAAATCTGAATCGCCTTTAAACTCTTCATAGATGAAATCAGCTATCACCCTTACTTTAGGATTTGTTATGTAAATTGAATTATTTCCAATTTTGCGAAATATTTCAAGCATTTCTGTAATTTTTTCATCGATATCAGTTTTACATAATTCAAACATCATCTGAATTAGTGAAATTTTCTGAATGATATCAATGCTTGAATTTTCATATATATTATTGAATAATTCGAACATAATATCAAAAAGTAGAGCGGGTTTAAAGGCTTCTTGACAATAAATATTCATTGAGATTTTCATGAGCAAAACAATCATTGGCTGGATAAATGGATAAAAATTTTCATTTTTTGAAACAACAGAATAAAACACGAATATAAATGTAAGATCAGTGTTATATATCTCATTTGCAAATTTGTAAAAAAATTGAATTAATTTCATCGATTGGCATATAGATTAGAAGATCATCCATATCATATGTTAGAAATAAACACATAATGCGTGAAATATATTCAATTAAAACGGTTTGCTGATTTGAATAGAAAACATTTTTTGATTGTTGCGTGAAATACTGTTGAAAGCAGTTATGTATGTTGTTTCCAAAAATTTCGGATAAGAATTTTGAAAATAGTTCCCAATTTTTCAATGTGATTTGAATTTCAGATAGAAAATTTAGAAATTGAATCAAATACTCAAAATCTTGTGTGTCCTTGGAATAAAGGATTAGATATTGATTCGTAAATTCGAAGAAAAAATCTTGATTATCTGATTCTTTGAAATTTTTCAATAACAATTCAAAATCTATCTCTTGCATGTATTTATATTCCTTTGTCTGCTTAAAGATTGTTAAAGACAAATTTGCATAAAATGTAAAATCTGTTTGTAATAAATTTATTTGAGAAAGAATTAAATCCAATAATTCTACACTATCAATATTATTTACAAGAAAATTTCGAAAAGGTTTTATATCGATAATTTTTGAAAAGTCTTCGATTTTTAAATATTTAATTATTACAAATAAAATATCAGTTTCGATTTTAATATTTAAGTTGTTCAATGAGTTTAACGTTTCGATTAGGTTTTCATTTTTAGTTAATTTGGAATTATTTATTGTTATAGACCGAAAATAGATTTTTTCGGTTTTCTCTTCAAATAATTGAAAGAATGATACTATTATAGGTTTATTATATTATATAGCATATAATCATGCTATAGCCGAAAATTATAAGTTTTGAGAAGATTGAATATAACACAAATAAATTTGAATGTAAGTTAAATTGCTTGTTGTTTTTAATAGGCCTTTAATGAGAAATCCAATATTGCAAAATTCAAATTGAATGATTGAAAGAACAGAAAAAGTCATTCTTTTTAATTTCGAATATGTTTCATTGTATTTATAATTATACGGCAAATAAGATATTTAAACTTGATTTTTGAAGGAAAATTCACAAAATTGAATAAATTCAAATAATTTTTATTCAAAAATAAACTAGTTATTTGAGTTTAACACTAATTATCTATTCAAACTACAAAGTTTGTAATTTAAAATATTTTGTGAGATCAGATTGAATTAATTCAAGGTTCTTTTCAATTAATATTAATGACCATATTACGCATTTTCGAACATTCTAAACCAAATATATAAAAATGGGAGACGAATGTTAAATTTGCTAGACATGGGGGAGTTGTTTACCGAGTTTTAGCTCTTATCTCTAACAAAAAATTAATTTTTAAAAAAATGACCGAATACGTTTCACAGCGAGAAAAAAATAAAAGGCAAGATAGAATTTTCTAGACATAAAGAAGTTGTTTACCGAGTTTTAGCTCTTATCTCTAACGAAAAATTAATTTTTAAAAAAAATGACCGAATACGTTTCACAGCGAGAAAAAAATAAAAGGCAAGATAGAATTTTCTAGACATAAAGAAGTTGTTTACCGAGTTTTAGCTCTTATCTCTAACAAAAAATTAATTTTTAAAAAAATGACCGAATACGTTTCACAGCGAGAAAAAAATAAAAGGCAAGATAGAATTTTCTAGACATAAAGAAGTTGTTTACCGAGTTTTAGCTCTTATCTCTAACGAAAAATTAATTTTTAAAAAAATGACCGAATACGTTTCACAGCGAGAAAAAAATAAAAGGCAAGATAGAATTTTCTAGACATAAAGAAGTTGTTTACCGAGTTTTAGCTCTTATCTCTAACAAAAAATTAATTTTTAAAAAAAATGACCGAATACGTTTCACAGCGAGAAAAAAATAAAAGGCAAGATAGAATTTTCTAGACATAAAGAAGTTGTTTACCGAGTTTTAGCTCTTATCTCTAACGAAAAATTAATTTTTAAAAAAATGACCGAATACGTTTCACAGCGAGAAAAAAATAAAAGGCAAGATAGAATTTTCTAGACATAAAGAAGTTGTTTACCGAGTTTTAGCTCTTATCTCTAACGAAAAATTAATTTTTAAAAAAATGACCGAATACGTTTCACAGCGAGAAAAAAATAAAAGGCAAGATAGAATTTTCTAGACATAAAGAAGTTGTTTACCGAGTTTTAGCTCTTATCTCTAACGAAAAATTAATTTTTAAAAAAATGACCGAATACGTTTCACAGCGAGAAAAAAATAAAAGGCAAGATAGAATTTTCTAGACATAAAGAAGTTGTTTACCGAGTTTTAGCTCTTATCTCTAACAAAAAATTAATTTTTAAAAAAATGACCGAATACGTTTCACAGCGAGAAAAAAATAAAACTTTACACTGATTTTAATTTTCATTTCCAGTCACTTTACTTATTTTTTTTTATTTTTTTCATTTTAATTATAAATTTTTTCATAATACGTTTATTTACGTTACCATTTTCTTTATTCTTTTGAATTCCATACTAGACACTTATAGAATATTTTGATTGTTAACGTACTTCATTAGAATGAATCCTTACAAAGGGTATGTCGATCGAATTTACCTAATTGGTATTTCCAATCAGATTGAAAAAGGTAAAATGACATGGGAAGAAGCTTGCACCCATGTTCCCATCGCCCCAACCCTTCAATCAAATGATTTCAAATATTTAGATGTTTCAAAATCTTTTTTACAAAATCAATTTAGCTTACAGAATATCCCATTGCCTAAAGGCAAGAAAGGTCGTAGGGTCAATTGTTGTGCATGAAAATTCGGTTCACTTCACTTCTGACAAAAGTGACAAGTTTACATGACAAAAATAGTTTACATGGCAAAAATATATAGGGTATTTTTTTTTAAAAGTAGTTATCTTTATATATAAAAATAAAACTTTTGATATATTTGAGTAAATGATTTATTAATTTATTTATTTATTTTTTTTAAATCAAATCATATAAATATATATATATATATAATAGTGAAATAGAACAAGAGATAATTATTGATGATTAAATTGTAGACGAGAATAAAAGTTTAGATAAATTAATAAAATTAGTGTGGAATCAGACAAATTTCGGGTTGTTTGGGAAGGAATTGTTGGCTATGATGTACTGATTCATGATCAGTACATCATAGCCAACAATTCCTTATACAAAGTTCAAAAACTTGGGTGCAATCAGTTCTGATTGCACCCAAGTTTTTGAACTTTCTCGAGAGAATGAAAGGGTAAGAGGTATACATTATGAATATATACCTCTTACCCTTCCATTCCCTCTCTGACAGCGGGAAACTTTGTCTGGATGTTAAACTATTCAGACAAAGTTTCCCGCTGTTTGCGAAGGAATTGTTGGCTATGATGTACTGATTCATGATCAGTACATCATAGCCAACAATTCCTTATACAAAGTTCAATTTTCATATTTCATGTATGTAACTCTCTAAAACTATAAATCTGATTTTCATTTGGCAGATCCACTTCTTGTCTTTCCATTTTTTTTGAATCAATTTATACAAATAAACTTATAAAACACAAAATTATTATTTTATAATATAATTCTTAGATAATACATCCGATATGTAAAGTGTCAAAAATGAAGTGAACCGAATTTTCATGCATTACAGGTCGTAGGGTCAATCCCTACGACCAAATCAAAGCTCTTGCTGTGATACATGACCACTGGGCCTTTCCCTGTGGTCAAACAAAACAATGGAAACGTTTGAAATTACAACAAATTGATGTATCTTATAGAGAAGTACGCAGATACTTCAAAGAAAATCATTTCACCAAGACGCGATTAGAGCATGCCGGGCCAGAAACAGCAGTAAGATATTGGGCGCTTTCACCCAATCTTATCTGGCACGCAGATGTTCATTATTTTAGGGGTGTTCGTGGCCAGTATATTTATGGCATAATCGACGATTTTAGCCGCAAAGTCCTAGCGTGTATACAAATACCAGATATGCTGGCAGCGACGACAGCGAACGTTGCGGCTTCCGCCTTCATTGAATTTGGCGCCCCTTATTGTTTCTGGACCGACAACGGTTCAGAAAATAGGGGAGCCTTTCAAGATCTACTTGATCTTTGGGGCGTCCAATGGCGGCATACAGACTCTCATTCTCCCTACCAAAATGGGAAGATTGAGAGATTCTGGCCGACATTGGAGCGCTGCCAAAGCATTCAGGCTATTCCTGCCTTTATTTGGGAGTACAATAATAACACACCGCATGAAGATCTCCCAATTAATCCATTAACTGGAACAAATTACACGCCAAATCAAATGTATCAGCTGAAACCGAAATACACAAATGCAGATACAGAAAGGCTGTGGCAAATATGGGATACAGATACAGGCATGACCGCTGTTGACACATTCACAGCGTAATAATAAACATAATTTTTTAATTTCATTTTTAACAAGTTTTTTTAAATGTATGTAATGAATAATTCATTAGAATATGATAATGCACATTGTAACAGAATAGAACAATCACCAAATTTTTTTTGAAATTAAAAAATAAAAGTAAAAAGTATAAAGTAATCTAACCAAAAAAGATATTTAAAAGAATTTTGGAAAAAACAGAATAAGGATAATGATATTATTTTAGATACACAATCGATGTACTGAAGAATAATCCGGTAAAATGATGATATAAAATTAGATTATTTTACAAGTAGCTAAAAGAATAAAACTATAATATAAAATAAATGAAGTTTAATGAAATAATAAAGGTTAAATAAATAATAAAGATTTTTATTTTATATCAGTATTGAGAAGAAGTAACAGCTGACACTTGGTAGACAACTTCTTTATGTCTAGAAAATTCTATCTTGCCTTTTATTTTTTTCTCGCTGTGAAACGTATTCGGTCATTTTTTTAAAAATTAATTTTTTGTTAGAGATAAGAGCTAAAACTTTGCAGACAACTCCCCCATGTCTAGCAAATTTAACATTCGTCTCCCATTTTTATATATTTGGTTTAGAATGTTCGAAAATGCGTAATATGGTCATTAATATTAATTGAAAAGAACCTTGAATTAATTCAATCTGACCTCACAAAATATTTTAAATTACAAACTTTGTAGTTTGAATAGATAATTAGTGTTAAACTCAAATAACTAGTTTATTTTTGAATAAAAATTATTTGAATTTATTCAATTTTGTGAATTTTCCTTCAAAAATCAAGTTTAAATATCTTATTTGCCGTATAATTATAAATACAATGAAACATATTCGAAATTAAAAAGAATGACTTTTTCTGTTCTTTCAATCATTCAATTTGAATTTTGCAATATTGGATTTCTCATTAAAGGCCTATTAAAAACAACAAGCAATTTAACTTACATTCAAATTTATTTGTGTTATATTCAATCTTCTCAAAACTTATAATTTTCGGCTATAGCATGATTATATGCTATATAATATAATAAACCTATAATAGTATCATTCTTTCAATTATTTGAAGAGAAAACCGAAAAAATCTATTTTCGGTCTATAACATTTGGAATTATTTATTTGCATTTTTTCGATTATTTCATGAATTCTTGGATCTTCAACAGGAATGATTTCATTTTGGCTAAAATCTGAATTTTCAGCTTTATATTCATAATCTCCCATATTCTTTCGATAGTAAAAAATATCCAAAAATTTGACATATAACCGCTAAACTCATTCAAAATATTGAGAGGAGGGAAAAAAAAGATAATAAGTGTTAAATATTAAAAACCTTAATTTTTATTTATTTATTGTTTTTTATTTTTTTTAAGTTGGGCAAATAAAAATTTTTTATAGTATTTAATAAGGTTTTTTGGACAAATCCTCTTGCAATCTTCGTAACTTGCCGAGTAATATTTGTCATTAATTTTTCCGCCGCACATTAATTTATCGTTTTCTTCCCAAATATCGGTGATTTCAAAATTAGTTGGCTTTGCTTCGAATTCTTTTTCTTCTGATGCGCGTTTATATTGAGTTTTATCAAAATTATCTGTTTCTTTTTTATAAAAAAATAATGAAGATTTTGAAATCCATTCAGTTGTTCCATCATCCCATTTTATTAAATAATCTGGGATGTCAGATAAATCACGCCTCAACAATATTTGTTGAATCTTTTTTGTTGGCTGTGTCATTTAAAAAGTGACAGATTAACGATAAATTTAAATTCAATTTGTTCTATCAGAAAAAGTTGATTTTTTTTAAATCTAACTTAAAAAATTAATATTATAATAAGTCCTATATTCTTTCTTTCATATGAGCATAAAAAATTCAATAGATTTTTTACTACATAATCTCTTTATTAAATTTTAATCTTGTTAATATAGCATCACTTCATGTTTATATTTATTTCAATTAGCATTTGAATTTTCTATAAGTTATTTTTTTTCAAAATTTCCAAGAGCATTATAATTTATTTGCAATCTAAGAAAGCATATAAATTTCTTATTCACATAAAATTTAGTCAGAATTTTTTTCTGAACTTTGCTCACAAAATACTTCAGATTGAAATACTGATCAGTTTAAATTCTTTTGTTTGTTCCAAATTCATAAAAAAAGGAATCCAATAAATTTTAATTGATAGGTATTAATTTTACATTTTCTCTCAATTTGTATTCAAATTTATTATCTTTATTTCATATGTAAATTGTTTTTATTTTTGATCAAAATTAATAATATACTATTAGATATGGTCATTACTTAATCACTAACTATGCAAATAAGAAATATTCTTGGAATTCAAATGCAATCAAATTAACTCACATGTTTTGTTCAGTAATTGACTATTTTAACAATTGAATTCTAATTAATATTAATGGTTATGACAGATCATATATTTAAATACCCAATAAACGTGTATTTTCATATATAATTGAAAGATGTAAAAAGAAAAGTATGAGTTAGAGAATAAATTTTGATACAAGCATATATGGCATACTATTGTCAATTAGCCTTATCAATGTTTTAAAATAAATACCGAAATTTAATGAAAATAAGTTATTTATATAATGAAAAAATTCTAAATTCGATTGATATCATACTTATAGCTTTATTAATATGTTCTAAATTATATTCCATGGTATATAGATTCATAAATCAAATTTTGATGAAGTTATACATAAAAGGGAAAACGCCCCTCAGAAAAAGTAGGGACGTTTTCCGGTCCCTCGTATTTTTCTCATTTCATAAATTATTGGTTGAGAATCTGGTGTAGCTCTTATTGAAATGTTAAGTCTTGCTTGTTCATATGAGATTTCTCAATTCTGGAAATGAAGAAAAATTTTTTGTCAGTTGTACAGGATCAACCAAGCCGTTATAGGTTGGTACGTTAAAGTAAATGTATTTAAAATATGAAAAGTACGTTTATAATTTTAAATTAAATTTAATAAAATTAAAAATAAAAATGCTACATTTAGGTCTTTATGATGAAAATATATGTTTGGTAATAGATAAAAATGCTTTTTATATTTTGTAAAAATGAAATTATAAGAGGTTTGAGTTTTAATACTCAGCCTAATAACTGTATTTTCTAAGTACTTTATTTGTCTCTGTAAGCTTTTTCTTTTTCTGATTTGTAAACCTCAACATTAATTATATATATCTTAATTTTCCATTTAAGAACAAATATAAATTTGTGATATTCTTATGAAATTATAATATTTTGAGATTATTCTTTGAGTTACATTCAATATATGTGCGAGCTTGATTAAATATATTATCATTTATGTTGTAATAACATACAATATTTTAATAGGTTAAAATTTAATCAGATAAAAGTGACAATTGATGTCAAATCTTGTTATTAGACGAAATGATGCAAGTCAACTGGCCTTAAAACAAGTTTTTACAAATTTTCTATGAAACTGAAGCGATTTAGCAATTTGTGATTCTTTTAGAATTATTTTATCTAATACCGAAAAGGGTCGCTAGAAAAGTGACATTTGGCGCCAAAATTAAAATTTAAAAATATTAATATTGTTAAACAATATTAAACAACATTAAATATTATAAATACTAATTTGATTAAAAACATTTTTTAATAATAATTTTGAAAACTAAAAAAATTGGAATTGAAGGATGAGAGGCATATAGGCATACTATATACCTCTCACCCTTCTATTCCTACCATAAATTTCGCAAACTTGGTCGCAATCAGATGCAATTGCGACCAAGTTTTCGAACTTTCTTGAAGGAATTGGAGCCTGCAAAGCGCTGATAATGTATCAGTGTCTAGTAGGCTCCTTTTCCTTTTCTAAATAGGACAAACTTTGTTTGCATTAGATAACATGCGAACAAAATTTCTCCTATTTAGAGTTTGAATTGAAGGGTGAGATGTATATAGGCAAACTATATACCTCTCACCCTTCAATTCCTACGAAAAATGATTAGGTAACAAACAAACATAAATTAACTTTTATATTTTTTATATTTTAATTTCATATATTTAATAAAATTCCTTATATATTATAAATATTATGTTAAAAACCCTTTCGAATTTTGGCACGAAAATAAGAGTAAGTGTCACTTTTTGTCACTTTTTCTAGTGACCCTTTTCGGTACGGAACACTTTTAGAATTATTTATTATTACAATTTACTTATTTTAGCTTGGAATGTTTGTTAATAGGTATGTATTCCCGGCTAAATTGCTGAGAAACTTTGTCCGAATAACTTATCGTTTGGATAATGTTCCTTCCATTATTAATGAGAATGAAAGTGTAAGATGTATATAGTGACCATATATATACCTCTTACCCTTTCATTTTCACTTGGATATCAAATAAGGAATCAAATCTTGGTCATTGAACTGAGATCCCCTCACTGGGAGAAGGGTTCCAGATCCGAGAGATATGTATTTTACTTCCACAAATCAAAGAAGATGAAGAATATCAATTCATTAAACCTATTGCTGATCAATCAGTTGCAAAAATTGTGAAAATGATTGATGAAAATCAAAAATGCGAGATTCAATGTGAATTGAATGATGAATTTAGAGTTAGATAATTAGAAAAGGTTACACAATTTAATTCAAACCAAGGGCATTGTTTTGATAACATTGGAAATGAGGACTAGGATCAATACTTAAAAAGAAAAATGACAACATGAAATTCATGGCTGACTCAGCAATGCTTGACATTACCACACCATACAAATCCAATGTTGAATTCATATATCAAACGCCAAATCGAATAGAAATTGAATCCTTTATAAAATGTACACTTTTATTTGTCTCTGTAAGCTTTTTCTTTTTTATCTTGAAAAAGATTGTATTCCACTATTTTTAACAGATAATTGCATTTTATTTACGAACAATCAATTTCTCTGGGCATTTTATCGTGTTATTTACAATATCATTAAAAGGCAAGGAGTTGTATGTTACTTTTTATTTTAAAATAGATATAAATTAATAAAATGTCTGATTTTAAAATAATATCTTCATCGAAAACTTATATGTAAAATTCTTGCAATATCTAGTGTGCGTCTAAGTCTAAATCAATGTTTGAATTGAAGAGATTGTTTATGAAAATTGTAAATTCTGAAGTCGGATCAGTATAAATTCTTAGTTTTTCCAACAATTGTGTTACTAAATTCTGGTCTAAATCATTAATTGAATTTATGCTAAGAAGTATCAAGATATAGAAAGATTCACGATCTTGAAGATCATGAAAATTATCGATTAGGTCATAAATGGTATATTCATCAATCGATAATTTTACTTGCTGGCTTTGATGCTATGGATGTTCTTAAAATCGTTCCAAAAATCCTTAATACTTTATGATTTTTGGGATCTTCACAAAATAAATACATTGTTTCCACAATAATTTTGATAATGAATTAGAGTGTTTTTCTGAGTCAAAAATTTCTAACTTATCAAAAATAAGTTTATGCTTTGATTTTTACATTGATAATCAAGCCAATTATATTGCAATCTATCATGAAAGATAAAATATCATCTTGAGAGTAATTTAAGATCATAACTAATTCGTTCGTGAATATTAATATAACAGGATATTTCATCCCAATCTATGTAATCAATTAAATAACGTTTGAAATTGTCTGGAATTAGTTGATAATGATGGTATATGAAAACGATTGCGAAATTAAATTCAAGATCAGAGCCAGAGGTAACCATATCAAAAGCAAATTTGAAAATTGATATTTTTTGAATAGTTAAATTTTCGAAATTAGAAAAATGAAGATAGTGAAACTCATTCCAAATATTGATTACGAGCTCAATGAGGCACTCTGTAATATTTCAATAATTCTATTTTCAAATTCTTCTAAATTAGATTTTGAAATACGTAATATTATGTATTGCGGAGTGGCAACCACTGGGCCACCCAATTTCCAACCAGCGTATTTTTTTTGATTCTAAATTTTTTGTATTTTTTTGAGAGACATATTACAATTTTAATTCGATAAATCTGTATAATTTTTGAAAAGCTAATAAATTCCACATTAAAAATCTAAAAATCAAATATAAAACATAAGTAGTATATATAGCGGGTTTTGTGACTTTTTTTGTAAACGTAAGAATTCATACAATATTGAACGATTTTGTATCATTTTTTTTTAACATATGAAGTAAAAAATGTATGATTCTTACGGTTTTTATTCTTACGTTTTTGAATAAATCAAGATTTAAAAAATTTTCAAAATTGTAAGACATTTACACTCAGCCCATACATGATGAAATAAAAAAATAATTTTTTTAAAAAATAAACTTTAAAAATTCATGTCTTACATTTTTTGAATAAATGAGGGGTCCCTCGGTCCCTCGGTCCCTCGGTTAATTAACATCTTTTTGAAAATAGTGACAACAGTCACTGTGTGACGAGACCTGAAGGTCTTGACATTTTGACAACAGGGAAAAAAAGGAGGAAATTCATGTCTTACATTTTTTGAATAATTTATTTTTTTAATTCGTAAGAAAATGAGTGGATCAAGATTCGTAACCGTCAATCAATTAATGGATGCTCTTTCACCAATTCTTGAAAATGTTAAACAAGTAGATGTTTATTTCGATGATTATGTAGAAAGTTTATATTATAAAGGTAAACATAATATTAAACCCATTGCTTTTGCATTTGATAATAAATTAATTGAAAATGCAAAAATTTGGGAATTAATTCCGAA